AAAAGAAAGAAGAACGTAGGAATAGATAGTAAAATGAAACAGTGATATCTATTAACCCCCCCTAATATTTATTTTAATTCATGTCACTTATTAATTAGTTTTCAGAGACTCAGACATGGCACCAGACAGTCAGCTGGTTCTTTAATTATGAGACAAACAATCCTCCTTAATTTTGTTTTACTTGTAATCGCCACAGCTGTACCCGATGGCTAACATGCACCGTTTGATCCCCGCCATTATGAACAGTATATGTATCTCTTTTAACCAGTTGTCTGGCTAATATATGTTGCAAAGCAGCGCGGTATTGTTCTCTGCGTGGGGGCTGCTAAGCAAACGTGGGAGCAGTTATTTTTCTTTTTTTGGGGAGGTTAGTTTAACTAATACAGAGCAATATAACTATCTTATAGCTAACTAGATAGCTGAAGCTTTCCTACTATAACCGTCCCAGTCGTCGCTGTTAGAGCAAGACATGTCTTGTTTTGTCACCGAATACCGAAGCGTCATCAGAAACACCCCCTACATCTGATTCAAATCATATTTTACCTTTTCTTCGTCGACGGGCGAGGCTAGAGGGTCATCTCCAGGGACGGTTTCTTTGTTTATGATGCTCGGTGGCTTGTTTTCATCAATTCTCCTCGCCTCTCTCCTCCAGGAGTCGTGCCACCCAGACTGACAGCACCACCGCTTGAGTGGACGATGTCCCGCCCCTAGTAACCAATCAGAGACCAGGACGAAAGACAGGGAGACGAGGGCAGACTCTGATTGGCTAACAGCCGTTTCGATCAAGGTGTCACTAAGGGCGCAGCTTGGTCCAAGGGCAGGACACCTGCTGAGAGAGGATGCTGAGCACCGCAGGTGCAGCCACATTAAGTGAGGAAAGAGCCGTATATAGTATATGATATATACAGCATACAGTCACAATAAAATAAAATCAAAATAAAAATGAATTTGAGGAGTAAAAAAAAAAAAAAGAATGATTGAATGGAATGTTGTTCAGAAGCAGAGGCGTAGCCAGGAATTTTTTTATAAGGGTGGCCAGGAAATAACCAGTGTACACTGAGGGGAGGCCGAAAGCGGATAGGCGCCAAAATTGATGAGCAAAACATCCATTGTTTCTAAATAAAGACTAACTATACTTTCCCAAATCCTTTGCTAACAAATAGATGCATATATTTAAACATCCATACTTCCTAGATAAAAGGAATAGTGGATAAAATTCTTTCTTGGTTGAGTTCTGGGGCGAACATCTTTTCCATTGTCTTTACTTACCTATTTTTATCAATAATCATTCTGCATTAAATTGATATTTACAAGTACTGATATCTACATAAAGCACATTTCTCTACTGTGAGATCAATAAAGTAATACATTGATTATTGAATAAGTTTTTATTAAAATATGTATTTATTTGTGATTTAACCGAAAACCCCTAGATGACTTGCATTTTTCTCTTTTATATATATAAAAAACACAAAATCTAGTTCTGAAAAGAACCTTACTACTGTACTTACTGGAGTGTATTGATGTGCATAATCAGCCACAGTGTTTTAATGTTTTTAACATTCCACTTGAGAGTACTACTTTAATGGAATGGGGAGGAGCCCCGATGATCCTTGTGACTGTTTTCACTACTCTTCTCACTTTCTTCCAATCTGAGGTGCTGCAGCCTCCACACCACACAGTGAGACAGCTGCTCTCGAGATAATCAAGATAATACTGCTAAATTAAACTAGTACAAGTTTAGCACAGTTCGGTTGTATCTGGCACTGTTCACTTCAGTTTTGACACTGCAGGCATATCTGGGAACAGGCGGGAAGAGCCTCTCATAGGACTGCAGAACTGAATTGGCAATATGCTCCTGCTCCAGCCTACTGCCCCAGAGACAAGGTATGGCTTTCCACAAAAGACATTCAGGCCAACTCTGCTAATAAGAAGCTTTCACCCAAATGTATTGGCACCTATGAGGTTTAATCAGTCTTGGGTCCTACCTAAGCTCATCTCAGACTGCCAGGAAGACTCAAGATCCATCCTGTTTTTCATGTTTCCTTGATTAAGCCTGTGAGATCTAAACCCTTGTGCCCTCCTCCTGAGTCCCCTCCTTCCCCGCGAGACATTGGTGGGTACCCTGCCTACAATGTTAGGAGGAGGCTAGATGTTCATTGACGTAGCAAATGTTTACCTGGTGGACTGGAAGGAACATTCCTGGGTTTCTTGTTCGCTCATTCTGGTCCCAGACATGGTTAGAGACTTTGAGGAGTTTTATCCTGGCCCCAGTGGACTCCCAAGGGGTGGTCATTGAGGGGGTTTGCTGTCGGAACCCTTGTGTGGAGAGTTTTTCTTTTCCTGTGGAGCACTGCTGGTGGGCATGGTTGGCTGTCAGACGCACCTCAGTTCTATCTGCCCATCTATCTGCTAGGGATTTAAGGAGCTGCAGCCACCTCTTCATCGCCTGATGGCCCCATACTGCGGTACAAGTCTAGCCAACGTTTACAGAAGCCTCTATGAGAACGTAATGTCTTTTTCCAAGTGTAACCTTTTTAAATTGCTCACCTCTCATCTCTCTGGATTTTCAGAATGGAACAAAGCTCCCCAGACTGATCACTCAGAGTCAAGCTCTCTTGTTCCCGACCTCTGCCCCCTAATCCCATCAGTTGCTCCAGTTGTCTCTGCCTGCCCACTCTCCACCACCTCTGAGACAGCTCTCAGACTCCATTCACTCCCTTCGTTTTAACCCATATCTCAAAAGTTCTGCACAGTCGTTGGCTTTGTCCTCCAAGGGACTCCCAGTCCTTTCCCTATCCTGTTTGGCTGAGTTAAAAAATAAAACTCAATGCTTTGTGTCCGTGCCTGATTCTGTATGTGGATCGGAAAGGTTCAGCCAGACATGACACTGGCTTTCACAATAATTGTTGCAATTGCTCAGCTCTTTATCAGACATTTAAGTTGTGAATCTGTGTATGCAGCATCTCATTACTGATTCCTGCTCTGTCAGAACTCCCCCTCTCTAAATTTAAACTGAAAGTAACATTTTTGGGAAGATAGTATTCATTCAGAAAAGTTTTATTAAAAATGTAGAGCAAACAAAATCAAAAAATTCAATAACCTGAATTAAGAAAAATGTTATACTGCACAAGACGTACACAAAGCGTACAGCCTTTCATATGAAATTATAATAGAAATGTATAAATGAACATGTACAGCCTGACCGGAAGTGACATTTCTTGATTTAGTCAGATTTGTATCGACTGGTTCCACAGCAGATATTTACTAAATCAATATAAAAAAAAAGTGTATTACTCCCCCCCCCTGTAAAGATCATCCTTTTTTAATTTGACTAATATAGTGTGAAAAATCATATCTTCAAGGCGTGTAATGCATTGGTCTGGGAAAACTGAAAACAATCAATTATGAAGAAAATTTGAAACAGTCTAAATAAGGCATTAAGGCCTTAGTGCAAAAATAAAAAAAAGTTAAGGATGATACAAAAAATGTTATCCAGTTCAAGTTCTTCACATAACATAAAGAGGTAAGATTGAATAAAACCTTTGCAGATGTGTGAAAAGGGACAAAACAGGAAAATTGGCATCAGAATAATCAGACAGCTGAAGAAGACTAAGAGACAGAGTTAACATACAGACACTCATAAAATATGCTTAACATCCACAATTTTGTGCATAAGTTTTAGCTGCACCTTAATCCTTATTTCAGGCATTCAATCCAAAAATAGAAACTAATATTATTTTGATCCATACATTCCAGGCGTCAATTTTTGAAAATTTCAATAATCATAGCTTTCAGCTAATTAAAATCTTAAGCTGTTTCTCAAAAAAATTAGACTATTATTAAAAACTACTTTAAGGAAGCTTTTAAATACAAAGACGGTACATTATGCCCTAAGCAAACATCGGGGAAGATTCCTGCCTCCCAAGTTGTTCAGCAGTTAAAGACACCGTCCACAGGGTACTGTAAGCTACAAAAGGTCATATTAAATAAAGCATATTAACGGAAAGTTCAGTGGAAGAAATTTTTTTTAGGAAACTGGGATAAACTGACTCAAGAGACCATTGCTAAATTGTGAAATGTGGAAAAAAAAAATCAGAACCGTCTAACCTGACTTAAGAAGAAAAAGCACTAGAACATGGCTGAGTGATCCAGACTTCTGTATATTTTCAGATCAAACTATTTTTTCTGAATTTTAAAGTCCCATAATCTTGAGGTGGTGTGGGAAGAGACAGAATAAAAGTGTCCAGTTTCCTCAGGCAGGGATAATTAGGCTAGACTCCTTCATCCGACTCCACTGTTGGATGAAGGAATTTGCTCTGCAATGTTAGGATTGTCTATTCAAGCCCTACTTTCAGTGTCATTGTGTTCTTGGGCAAGACTCTTCACCTGCATTGCTTACTGATGGTGGTTGGAGAGACTGGTAGCACAAGTTTTACTGCAGCGTCGCTTCTGTTAGTGAGCACCAGGGCAGCTGTGGCAATGTAGCTTGCCACCAACCTGTGTGTGAGTGTGTGCGTAAAAGACTAAATGTAGTGTAAAGTCCTTTAGTCAACTCCTCTGACTTGAAAAAAAGCTATATAACTGCATGCCATTTCCTTTGGTGCAATAAGCACAGCACTACATCTTTCCATCTGCTGTCAACCTTTATGATAATTCTGATTCTTATTTATGATTCTGCCAAAGGTATCAGTGCCTTCTATACATGGAATCACTGAATGATAAAGCAGCAAACTCTCTTAAGCTGAAAACTTTGGCGGATATTTTCAAGAAAAAGATAAAAGATGCTCTCAACAAAAATGCAGAAGACATGAGGGCCTTTATAGAGCCAAAATGGTCTCCCATTTCACCTCAGCAGAGCCACACGCAGATCATCCTATGCTAACTATGGATGCTGACAGTCTCGCAAAAGAAGACCCAATCAAGTATAAAGTGCATATACCATACAGTACGTCCAATAGCTACAACTACATATTACATTCTCAATTCTAGAGAAAATGAACATGGGTTTTGATTAGCTGTAAAGTTATGATCATCAACAATAACTTACATAATGTGAGTCTCATTTTTGAAATGAATTCCTGAAACATTTTGAACAATTTTGCTCTTTTAATCTACTGAGAAACCCCTGTTTAATCATGAACTCTTAAAAGATATGTAAACCCAAGAACACATAGAACAACATCAATTACTGCAGAGCTACATAAAGTAGAAAGTCAAATTCTTTCATCGGTTTACCCAAAAATGGGTTTTGGCTTTTTCATGTATGCATTAGTTCTGTGAACAGAAAATGTGTAGGTAAGAAAAAGTTGTTTGGTAACACTGTAATTACAAAAAAACAGGTGATAAGTCTTTGTTCTGTGTTTTTTTTATATTTCCTTAAGCTCCCCAATAGGTGTTTAACAGTTGGTTAGTCTATTAATGGAGAACAGTGTATACGACTGCGAGATAAAAAACAAATATGGTTCCACATCTCCCGTTAAATACAATCAGACGACACTGAAGTAACATTAGGAATCCAATTGCGGGATGTTATCGACTGCATTAACCTTTTCATGGGAAACATTGTCAAAGCTTAAATAACAGAAACTCCTCCAAGATGCAACATTGGTGGTGTTAAGCCTTGGCTCCTTATGCCCATGTTAAGGAGGTTCTGAGTAAGACATTTTTACAGTGAGCTGAAAGTGCTGCTATTTATGTACAAATGACAAAATATATAAGAGATAAAAAAAAAAAAAATGACAGAGTTTGGTGAAACAGCATGGTGACTAACATCTTTTCCTCCTCAGAGAGTTCAAAACAGTGCTGTCGTCATGTGAGAGCTTCAAAATGTGGCGATAAAATTGGCCAATGACCCGTAGTTTATTTTAAAAAAAAAAAATGGCACAGTTTAATAACAAGTCTTCTCAGGCATAGCGAGGGTCTGCTTCGACCAGCGACAGCTGCTGGAGGTAGGCAGGCGACTGGCAGCCCTGCGACCGCGCCGTCTCCACAAAGATGGTTGAGGAAGTGAGGCTTTTGCGGTCCTTCTTAAGGGGGTGTCTTCTTTGCCAACGGCAGAGCAAGAGCTCCACCTGCTCTCTGAAGAAGCTGGTTGTCAGGGTGTACAGAATGGGGTTCAAGGCACTGTTGATTGGAAGGATGAAAATGACAACCCAACTGGAGATGGTGTCTAAAGAAGCAAAGGGAAACAGCAATGTAAGGCAAGGAACATTTACTCGCAGACCATTTTTACACAAGGTAACTTGAGATGCTTCCAAGGAAAATAACATACAAAAAAAACATAAAGAGAAATTAGAAATTAGATCATTTTAGCCATAATTTTAAAACAGTTAATGAAGATTCAAAATCTGAAAAAAAGCAGATTTTTTAGATTTCTGGTAAAGCTGTTATAGATCATACTGTTTCCAGTTATGATAAAAGAGACATTTTTTAAGTTTTTACTGAAAAATATCTTAACAGCCTTTTTATATGGCAGTTTAAGACTAAAACATTCTTTGATGAGAAAACAGACACCTCAGTAGTTCATGCAGCTTTAAGCCTCTAGGCTTTTTTCGCTGCATCTAATTAGAGTCAGAAGTTCTCACACTGTTTCTACAGATGTGACGTCAAGTGAATCCATGCCTAGTTGGTCTGACCAAGCAAACAATCAAAACGTTATTGTGACGGGGCAGTGCGGTCACTCCTGCTGATACGCATGCACGCACACATACATACACAGAGAAATGCACGTGCGCACACACCCATTCAACTGCGAGTCCCTTCCCGTGTATGATAGTTACAGATCAATCGCTTTACTCACTTACATTAGCCTCTTGTGTGATGTGGCACGACCAAGGGTGCACACTTGGTGATGCTCATTAATCGGAACTCATACATTTACACTTAAACACATACACACGTTTGCACTTACCCGTGGAGCGTTGTTTGAGAGAAAGTGGGCGGGGTATTTTCAGGGTTTTTCTTTCCTGTTTGTTTTTTCCTCATAAAGAAAGTCAGTGATTTCCGCTGGCAAATTTAATTGTATTTTTTTTTTTTAAGAAAGTAACTTCAGAATGGAAACAGAAAATTATAATTTTTTTTCTCTAGGAATAAATGTTTTTTTTATTTTTATTTTTTTCCCTTATTATTATTAAAACCAATACTCAATTGTTTGCTGATCTAATTGTAGGGCGGGGCTTAGGATTTATAAGGAGAGCTGCTGACATTACTGAGTCAGTCTGGCCTGGTTACAGAGAAGGTAACATTGCTGTGCAGCACAAAAGGTATTTTTTGTCTGAAATGATGTAAATACTACATTTGTTTCCATACTATTTTTTTTTTTTGCATTTTCCCCTGCTACTCTGCTCTTATTTTTAAGAGGTGTGAAATAAATATGATAAACTGAAGATCGAACTGAACTGAAGTCGACATGCCCTCCATGATTTTTTTTCTCATGATTTTGGAGTCAAGTTGACCGTATCAAGGTCTAACACAGAGGCTGTTAGGAAGAACCCACGACAGTTATTTTCAAGATAGATTTTGTGGATATTCCAAAGCCACTGGCATCCAGCTCAACTCTGACACCAATGTCAACTCCAGATAAAGTGAAAAAAAAAATTTATACAAAAAGATCTTGTCAAGTAGGAACGCTCACTAGACTAATGAGTAATGGACTAATAGACTAAACAACATTGGGAGGTTTGAGGCACTAAACAGTACTCCAGCAATGGAAGCCATTCCACATCAGGGAGAGGAGGCACTCTGCTTTGACACAGCTGACATATGGAAGACTCTGAGGAGAGTCAACCCAAGGAAGGCCCCAGCCCCCCAAAACATACCTAGGCAGATGCTCTAGGAGTGTGCGGGTCAGCTGGCTGGCATCTTACAAGACATCTTTAACACTCCACTGGACCAAGCCATAGTGGCAGCATTCTTTAAGTCTGCCTCCATCATTCTGGTCCCAAAGTAGCCTCAAGTTGTCTCATTCAATGATTAACCGGCCTGTTGCACTGACTTCCACCATGGTGAAGCGCTTCGAAAGGCTTGTTAAAGAACACACCGTCTCCAGTCTGCCCCCAACATTCGACCCGTCCCAGTCCGCCTACCGACGGAACTGCTCCACTGACGACACCATCTCTGCTGCTCTCCACCTGAGCCTGGCACACTTGGAGGACAAGAACACCCACGTGTGGGTGCTTTTCCTGGACTTCAGTTCAGCTTTCAACACCATCATCCCACAGCATCCGATAGGAAGACTGTAACATCCGGGCTTCAACACGCCCCTTTGCAACTGGCTGCTACGCTTCCTCACAAACAGACCTCGGTCAGTCTGGGTTGCACAGAACACCTCTGATGTCATCACCCCGAGCACAGTCTCCCCTCAAGGCTGCCTCCTGAGCCCCCTGCTGTTTACCCTGATGACGCACAACTGTGTTTCCAGGTTCACCACCAATCACACCGTGAAGGTTGCAGATGACACTACGGTGGTGGGCTTCATCACAGATGACAACGACCAGGACTACAGAGAGGAGGTGGACCAAAGGTAACAGCCTGATCCCAAACATTGAGAATCATCGTCGACTTCAGAAAGAACCGGCATAAACACGCTCCACTTCTCATCACAGCAGCTCAGCTGTAGAGGTGGTCATTAGAACCAAATTTCTTGGGGTGCACATCACAGACACCCTCACCTGGTCTATGATCACAGCCTCACCGGTCAAAAAGACACAGAAGCGCTTTAACTTGGGAGGATGAGAAGAGCCCACCTGCCCTGCCCATCCTCAAGACCTTCTACAGAAGCACCATAGAGAGCGTTCTGACCAGCTGTCTCACTGTGTGGTGTGGAGGGTGCAGCGCCTCAGACAGAAAGAAAACGAGAAGAGTGGTGAGAAAAACAGCTTTTTCCCTGCTGTCGTCAGACAGTTGAACTGTTGAACTCTAAACTGGACTCTGCCTCACACTTGCAACATTATTCTCCCCCTGCGATGTGGCTGAAACTTTTTATAATTCTTTTAAAAAGGACACAACTCAATGTTATACTGCATTTTGCTATGAACCTTTTCTTATTAATGCCCTTTTGCATCATTATTTTTAACCTGGTTACTTTTCTCCTACAATGTTTAAATTCGGACCACTGCTGATATTCATTTCACTATTGTAAGCTTTATATACACTTTGTGTACACAAGATGACAATAAAGTTTGTCTAAGTCTAGGTCTAAGAGCAGAAGAGTGCTGCAGTTCTGTGTTTTGGCCACAGGTGGCAGTATCATTATAATTCGGTCATGCCTCTTTAATAGACCCAGCAGTTTTTACATATTTATCTAAAGGAGTCATAAGCTGGTACAAATACAGAGTATTTACTCAGTTTTAGGGGAAAAATATATAGAGCTCATGTGGAACCCTTTTCATACCCTTTTTTTCCCCATTGTCTCAGAAAATTATAACACCTTAGATAAGAGGTTATGGCGCCCTCAAGCATTTTCTTAAAAAAAAAAAAAAAAAACAGCAACCCTGCATTAGACTAGTTTAAAAATTATGCTTTAAGCAAAAATGTAAAGCTTTTGAGAAGTATGTGCATATCTATGTTCGAATTTGGGCCTCCTTCATGAATAACTGCATAAATGTAGCAAAGAGGTGATCAGCAAGCAGCACTGCGTAGGTGTAATGGATGCCCAGATTGCTTGAATGGCTGCCTACAAATCATTAGACTTGCGTGGTTCTGATGTCTCCTCTTATTGAAATCAGCTCATAGATTTTCTATGGCATTCAGGTCAGTTCAGTTTGCTGGCTAATCAAGGTCAATACAATCGTGGTCATTGAAAAAGCTTTTGGTGCCTTTGGCAGTGCAGTTAGATACCAAACCCTGCTGGAAAATAAAACCAGGATGTCCATACAGTTTATAGGTGATAAATCTGGATTCCAACCATTTCTTGTCAAGTCTAGATTGCAAAACATCCTGATGCCAAAGCTCTTATGTTTTGCAACTTAACTGAAGTCCTAGAAGGAAATTAAATGGACATTTTCTGGATTCTAGGTTTATAGATTCTATTATATGTTGAACTTGGTGTGCATGCATTAGACTTTTCTACTACTTCTTATTTTAATCTAAATCAGATCAGGAACTTCACATGAATTTACCTATTTAATAGGCAACTGATAGATGCTGAAACAGACTTGTATAAAAATGGAAATAAAGGATGTTATTGCATCCTTTTCTAATCAGTGCTATGAAGGATTTTCCTTTTTTGAAGATCTACTGTATGTCCTAATGAGTCGAAACAAAAACTTTGTTGAATCTCTTTTAAAAGGTTTGGATGAAGTGAATGAAAAAAAGATGGAAGTTTTTTCGAGGCACGTCAGATAGCCTAGTTTTACACCTGGGACATGTATTTCACTTTGCGAAGCCAGTGGCCACAAATTTAGGTTTTAAAATAGGCAGTCATCTTAACTTTGACAGCCAGATCAAAGCTGTGGTTAAATCCAGTTTCTTTCTGGCCAAAACAAAGTTCTCGCTAAGCAAAGCACCCTCTGAGACAGTGATCCATGCCTTTGTGACCACTCGGCTGGATTAATGCAATATAATTTATTTAGGTGTTTTTGGATCGTTCATTGCCCGTCTGTGGCTTCCGGTTTACTTTGGGATTCATTTAAAAATTCTTTTATTTTGTTTCAAGTCTTTAAATGGCTTTGCTCCAACATATATCGCTGATCTCCTATATCCTTATTTACCCCTTTGTTCTCTTAGGTCAGCGGGTCGATTACTCCTGTCAGTACCTAGAACAAGGTATAACTCAGAGGGGACTGGATCATCTCTCTGTACACAGAAAAAAAAAATGCAACCTCTTTTGGCATCTACGTAATCATATTTAGTTATTTTAACACAATTATCCTACCCTGCTAACATAAAACAATTGTGTTAAACTAACTAAAGACTAAAGTAAATGCCAAAAACTGTTGCGTTATATTTTTTCAGTGTAGTCAATCCCAAACCGGAATGATTTGTCACTGTATATCAGGCTGGCTTCTTCTTTGACCATTTTAAATCTCTATTAAAGTCTAATTTTTTTCTCCCTGGCATTTAATACTCAAAAGGATGTTTGATGATTTTATGTTTTTTTTTCCCATATTGTTTTTACTTATTTATTGATTTTATATTGTAGATATTAATCTTAGTGTATTTAATGGTGTTTGTATTTCTGCTTATATGCCGCACTTTGGTCCTATTGGTTTTTTTTAAAGTGCTATATAAATAAAGTTGGATCATTTGTAAGTTTTAAAGATGAAGCTAAGAAAGAGACAAATAACTCACAACCACGCCAGCAAAGCACCATGCGGCTGCTTTTTATGAAATTAAGGCTTGCATGATCATTAAGGGAATAATGACACAAGGAATAATTGTAAAAAGTCTGAGATGTCTTTGTTTTTCTCACCTGGTATCTCCATCTCCAGCAGTGAGAGAATCTTCACTAAGAATATTGGAATCCAGCAGAGGGCGTCAGAGAACACTATAAAGAAAAATCTGTTGGCCACTGCTACATCTCTGTGCAGTCTGCTCCTCAGGTCAGATGCATTGATGCCAGTTTTGTAGATGGAATAGAACATGCTGGTGTAGGAGAAGACGATCACAAGGAACGCCACCAGATTGAGACCTAAAACAATGAACAGACTGTTCACACGTGTATTCAGAAAAAAGGAGAAGCATAAAGAGCTTTCAGTTTAGAAAGACCCCAACAGCTTTTGCAATAACAGGCATAGAAATGAATATTAACGGTTCTGCAAACACACGCATATCAGACTAAAGCCTTGTGTTGTGCTTATAATGGTGAAAATCTTATGTTTTGGCTTCCTAAAGCCTTTTAAATCCATCATGTCTCCAAAGTGCCTAGGTGTGTAGAAATAAAATTCCATGGATGCTAGTTCATACATCACACAATTCTTTTCTTCTATTTCACATAAATCGGTCAAGCAACTGGGTTTGAAATGCAAGCAATACAGGATAATATTTGTTAAAAGTAGACATTTAATAAGAAACATAATCAGCGAGGTAAAACAGGAAAAGGATTGCTTTCAGAGAAACGGACTCCTCCCTTATCTTATGCACAAGCAAAAAATATGTATAGAATTACTGCATGCAGGAAAGCCAAAATACCAAAATGTGCATCAAAAATTCACAATTCTGAAATATATGCTTTAAAAAAGTTTAAACTTTTAACATACAACAACAAATGTATATTTTATCAATATTTTAACCTTTTCACTAATACCAATGAAGCAGCAGTTGGTAGAAAAAATTAACTTAATCAACCTTTTTTTTTCTGAAAAAACACTGTGTATATAAATGGTTTCATTTGAATGAATATTTTTTAAATCCCCACCCAATATATACAATTATATATATATAAAAAAAATATTTCAAGGGCAACATTTTGAAATCAGGAAAAACCCAGCCTGCTGAGCCACCTTCGCCCAGGTTAAAAAATAACACCAGACACCAAAGTTACTTAAACGTGTTAATTTCTTAATATCACATAACTGCAGACAGCATCTGCTTATCAGTAGTACTTAAAAAGAAAACATTTGTAGTTCCAACTTCAGTCTACTAGAGCAATGGTCGTACAACTTTTAGATTAATCCCTTTTTCAGCATGTCTGGATCAAATGTTACCTCAGCATGTTTCTACTGAGCTGAATTATGTGCTGTGAAGGAATCCAGTCATTTGATTGAGAGATTCATTAACGCTTTCCGTAATAAAGAACAGCTTTAAAGAACAGCTACAGCTATACTGAGATTCATTTACATGCAGAAGGGATTCATATTTAACCATTATATTTCTTTGTATTGGATTTAATTAGGAAGTTTTTAATTGCAAGGATATGAAGACTTTTGAAAGGTACAGTACAGTAAATCCAAAAGTTATGTATATTTTCGAGGTAAAAATTAGAAACAAAGAAGCAAAGCCTCTGAAATGGAAATGTTGGCAAAGCTTAAAAGAGAACATCTAAAATAATTTTGGGACTTTAATCCTGAGGTTCACAAAGAACACTAAGTAACGACTGGCAGGCTGACGATGCATCATTAGATAAATCGCCTGTGTTTATTAGTCGCAAATGTTCTGTTAGTTTATTGGATCTCCGTAAAACTGCCAGTAACACGTCAGACTACAGCTACATTTTCCATGATGAAAACCTTAATCCTTGTAAAATCCTCCTTTTGGACTCTGATTACAAGCATATCCCCAAAGGTGTCTTTTTCATTACCCTACATGATTAATCAAAAGGACATTTACCTTCTAACAAGTTCAGAAAGAAGATTGCAGTAGTATACAGGAGAGAAAAATAAAAGGGTTCTTTAATTTACCCAGAAAAATCCCGGTGGAATATCCTTTGGCTGTAGGTTTCTCTTGCCTGTCAGAGTGGAGGGGGAAGCAGACCCCGTTCCGACCGTAGTAATTGCCAAAGATGTCTTCGTTCATAAGCGGCACAGCGGCAATGATGAAGCCCATCAGCCAGATAGAAGACAGGATCACCTTGCATCAGAACAACAAATATGCTGTTAAGGTTTCAGATGCAACATGCCTCCAAGTTCAGAGTGAAAAAAACACCTGGAACATTAATTACTTAAATCCACATTGTGACTGACATTTAATTAAATTAGCAGAATTTAAATGCTTAGATTGACTGGTTTCTACCTGTTGAAGGACATTTAAAGGTTTGTTGCTGTCTAGAGAGGAGCCTCCCTCTCCCCTTCAAAAAAACGAAGAAATGTCTCTGTCCTAAAGATGAATAAACAATGCCCTGAAAATGTCAGTTTCTTCAAGCTCTTCCTGGATTGTCAACTCTGTCGGCATATCTAAAATAGGCATTGGAAAGCCCAAGGTGTTTTTGCCTTTTTCGAATTACAGGCAGAGCTGAGCCAGAGTCACATATGTGTGATGAGTTTTTGTTCTGCACACAAAAAGTGAGATGGGTATGAAAATCTAAAAATATAGCATTCTTATTAGGAAACAATGAATTGCAAAAGTAGTCATCTCCATAGACTTTTTTTTTTTGACGTTTTCTACTTTTTTCTACTATAGTAAAAAAAAATAATGATGCGAAATGCTGAATGAAACTAGGTTGACCCTGAAGGAGCTGCAAAGATCAACTCAGGTGGGCGAGTCTGTTGAAAGTGCAACTTTTAGACAAGCACTCTATAAATCCTGCTTCTACTCTAGAATGAACATTGGGACAAATTCCCCACTGCCATCAGACTGCTGAACCGTTGGGAAAACTCTAAATCATGTCACAGACCCTGAATCACACTCACAACACCAAACCAAAACACTATATTTTTGCACCATATATATTTAATGCTCTAAACTTCCATATCAATGCGTTTTTTTTGCACCATGTTTTCCTCCCGCATTGTTTACATTTGATCACTGCTGCACTTTAAGAAATGGAAATGTCATGAAAGCTGTACATTTTGTATACACACATTATGTATACAAAATAGCAATAAAAGTTGTCTAAGTCTAAGACAAATATGAACTAACTATCCACACACTGCAAAAAAACAAAATCTAGATAAGTAATTCTTTTCTTAAAATAAGTGAATTTTTCTTGTATTGAGGAGGTAAAAGAGACATTTTGCCAATGGAACAAGACAATTTACACTTAAAATAAAAAAACACAACTGCATTGTCTTATTTCAAGTGCATTGTCTTATTTCAAGTGCATATTATCTACTTATTTTAAGAGTAAAAATACTCATTCCATTGGCAAATCATCTCATTTACCTCCTCAAATTAAGGGTAATTACACTTAATTTAAGACATTTTTACTTATTTCTAGATCGTTTTTGCAGTGCAAGACAAATAATTCTACTTTTAAGCTTTGTTCTATAAAAACTTAACCTATAGACACACATCATTTCTACAAGAAAACGTTATAAAACATCTGGTTGTCTTTTTTAAGATACGATTAAGATCATTTGGAGTGATTCACACTCTTATGACCTATTAAATTCTAAAAGAGAAGACCACAAGAAGAAAAATGGGAATGGAAGAAGAAAAAAAAGAAGCTTGAAAATTATGACGCAGTATTAAGTCAGCCACTGACATCTGAATCCAATCAGGATAATAAATGGGTCCCTGGCTTCTGTTTCTTTCNAAGCCTCTGGACCCACTGGTTCCCTCCCTCAGCCACTAAACCAGAATCACGTCACAGGTACAAACCTGCACAATTCCTCTCGCAAAGATCTACCGCATCCTGGCTAACCTAACTGTCCCTCTCTACAGAGAACCCTGTGTGACCAGTCCCGGATCTGTTTCTCTGCATCTCTCATATAACATTGTGTTTATTTCAATAAACAGTAAAACTTTTCATCTACCTCCGTTGTGTTCTGCATGTGGGTTAGAAATCTGAATCCCATCATGACAAATTTTTGCTCTCTTGTACCAGATTTTTGATTGAAATTTTGTACATTTAAGCATTTAAATGCCCCTTAGATTTAGAGGGTCCAACAAGGAGAGACTTGTTTTTTTTTTAACATGTTTGAAATTCACATTATGTGCTAGTGGAAACGGTGATGCTTTTTAGAAGAATTACTTAGACACTCAGAAAAGATGGATTGAAAACTGTCCAAAAGTAGAGGAGGGAGAAATTAACATTTTGTGGAAGAACACAGATAATAATCATGAATGGTTCTAATCAAAGCAAAATCAAAAGTCAAAATATTTCCTCAGGGTGATGAAGTGATGCAGTCATCATGTCTACTGCCTACCAAGCAAGCATGTGTGGACAGTAGTATAAGCTTAGGTATATGCAGTCAGTTGGACCAGTTTAGCAGCAACAGGGGCCAAATTCTGAGGTCAGCTAACTACTTAAAGATTATGAATAAGGAAGTTATTCCATCAGGTAATTTATTTTCTATGACTTGCTATGAATGACAATGACAGGATTCATTTGGCTCAAATTGTGCAAGAGTACTTCAAGGACCATGAGACATCATTTTCACGCATGGATTGGTCACCCCGGAAACCAGACTTTAACCCCATGGAGAATCTTTGCTGGAGAGGATATTGTGGAGTGGTCGGACTCTTCCTTCATCTCCACAAGCTTGAATGAATATAGCTTTGGATGGAAATGAATACTGTGACATTGCAGAAGCTGGTTACTGATGCCACAGTGAATGTATGTTTGTAGGACGGTATAAAGAAATATTACAGAGTGTGACTTTTATGTTCTTTGAAAAGGAGCAGTTTATTCTGCATATTCGGATTACCATAAAACCTAATTAATATTAACTGTACATTGGTGAAGCACTGATAGTCACAGATATAATTTTTATTTTCTCTAATTAACAAAGGATATTTTAGGGTTTTTAAACAGCTGCAAGCTGAAATGACACATAACGACTTGGTTAAAATAATCCCAGCGATGTAAACAGATTGATGACAGATTGTTAAAAACCTTTTATGGGAAACGTTGTCAGCAATGAAACAGCTGTGGCTTGGAAATCTCATTTATTCTGCATGTCTTTTAACAGGACCTCAGCGTCTCTTGTTACCTTCTGAACAAAGTTGAGCAGCTGGAAACCACCCGGTTTTACAACTGATTTTATTTCCTCCTTCTCCTTTCAGACACCTCAGCTAATGAACTGTTCTTAGAGGTAATAAAAGTATTGTGTTTTTGTTATTTTGCTGGACAACACATGCTACATTTTTATTTTTTATAATTTATTTTAACAAATTTTACTCGGTTCTCTAAAAATGACTCATACAGGCGTTTTGTGGCTGCATTAATGCCAAAAGAGACAGCCTCTATAGAGAAAAAAAAACTTTTTTCTTGGAATAACTCTTCTGTTTCTTGGATTAACTGCTATAATACATCTGCGTTCCTAATGAATGACAGATGGCACTGCACAGGATTCTGCGCAAAAATGACGCAGAGTTTTAGTAAAAGATGATTAATACTTGATAAAAGCATGAAAACAAACACAGAAACAAGAGGATTAAAATTCTGATCAGAGATAGAGGAGACACAGTCACTCACCCCTGTCTGGAGTTTGCCAGGTCGCACATTGCTGAAGGGGAACACAATAACCAGGAACTTCTCTAGAGTCAAGTATGTCAGGAGAAGCACAGACACCTGGGGGGGAAAATAACTGTCATGAAAAAGAAGTAATAATGTTATCTTAAATCAATACCTTTAGCATTTTAAGGTATATTTTATATTCACACCTAACTCTCAGAGCTATCATTTGTCCCTCTGTGGTGGAATAGGCTCTTCATGCACAGACAAGCCAAATAACTACACATTTAATAATTGAACCATTGTTTTACAGAAACAACACAGTTTGCAGCACTTTGTGAATTTACTACAGTCGGCATTATATTAAGCAAAAGTGGGAGATGTGGAGCCATCATGTCATCTCTATGTCATATATTTGTTCTGCCCAGCCACTGAACCAGGTGAGCCCAATCTGCACAATTTAATTCATTTTGCAGATTGGACCCACCCTGTTCAGTGGCTGGGCAGAACAAATAAATGACAGAGATGACATGATGGCTCCACATCTTCCACCATATAAGGTCATGCTCAAGATATTTGGATAGATGTCCTTAAGAAACTCCATGAGGAGCTATCAGCGTCACCAAACTGCTAGTATTATCCTTATCTTCTTAATTTTAACAGAACTGATAGAGCTGGAAAAAGGTTTTAATTCTAGCCCACAGATGAGATTACTTATTTTACGTTCTCCTACCTCATTTGTTTACTCTGCTGGTGTCATATTCAGTCTAGCTGTTAAAAAACCAAACCTGGAGGTAGTGCTCCATCTTCATTACTGCAGTGAACCACAACCAATCATCAATCAACACCCCTCATTATGATGCTACCCTCACCATGCCGTAAATTAAAGGTATATTGGGGGATGTTCTTTTTCAGGGTGGATCATCTAAATAAGTGGTCCTCCTTATTGTCAATCATTCTGATGATATGTTCACGTAAGGCCATCATAGGTGCTAGTCGCCATTTTCACGTTCCAGTGGTGAGTCTGACAAAGATGAAAAATTGCAAATCGTCTTTTGGACAGTAAGCTTGTATAAGCGATGCAAACAGAAACTTTTAAACAGAGCGTGCACGAGGAGAAATGGGCTTGTGTGTGCCCTCACACACATGTAATAGGTGTTCCCTCTCAGCAGCAGGTACAAGATTGTGCATGTGCATATTTTATTTTTTTTAAGTAGAGAAGGTGGGTCTTTTAAAAAAAATTGCAAAAATCCTCCACTATACCTTTAAAATAATTGCAATTAGGTACCAAAGCTGCACTGACTTATCTTAAAGTACTGGATAAGGAATCGCTCCATGTGTTCCCTGTCTGACCATGAAACTTTGATCCAGCAGGAATTTACATTGTCACTGTCAGCAGCTGCAAAATCTGATTGCTGCTCAAAGGTATCAGGTTTGCAGAAGGAGCTTCTACATCACAACACTTCCCCCGAAACTGTAGGTGTGATTTCATTGCGAAGAATATAATTGATGTTCCAGTATTTTGTTTTTATCTAATAACTGCCTTCTTTTTCTTGAACATTATACAAAATTGCCTTTTATTTGACTTTGGATCAAGTGTTTGAAACTTGGACCCAGTTCAGTGTTCAAATAAACACAACAAGAAGCAAAAAACAGAGACCAAAATAGTGTTGGAGTGGATAAACTAAGCTCACAAAAGTCAGCTGGTATAGCCCTGACCTCAGACCTATTAAAAATTAACGAACTGTGTCTGAAAGCTTGGTCTCTCGCCACACACCAGTCAGCTGAAATTAAGTCTTCTTCCAAGAATGGCATTTAAAACTCAAACAGAATAACAACACAATTTATAATATGAACTTCCAACCATATATATATATACATATATATATATATATATTTTTTTTTTATCAAGGAATCTAAAATAAATAAATACATCTTCAACAGCCATGTTTTTGCCATATAAGTCCCAATGCATTAACGCACCTCTGAGGACAACATGGCTAGAAAGCCGATGGTGCGACACTCCACACTCTCCATCCATAGCAGGGCGTTTCGATTGTACTGCCCTCGAAACTTCACATCAAACACTCCGACGAAAAACAGGTACACCCCCATAAGGCAGTCTGCACCTGGATGATGGGACACAAACACACACAAACAAGTTCATTTCAGGGCAACTCTCCAGGGTAGGCTAGTGGATGATTATTTCCTTATGCCAGCTGCTGGTTGCTTCCAGCAGAACCAACAAAAATATTCTCATTGAAATTCACTAACGCAACATTACTACTATCCTTGAGAGCAGTAGAGAATAAAAACCTGCTGGGGGAGCCTGCAGCATCTCATATGGATGACACAAGGTATTTATATTCATTGCATAAAATGTGATATTACCCTGTTTTATCCTCTGTTTAAGCTTAAAACAGCCTAACCTTCATTGGTTTATGTTTCCGAGGAATTCAAAAAGTTACTATGAATTCCCAAAAGAGAATAACATGATAGTAATATCACAAAAATATTATGTGATATTAAACCTGAAAATGGCCACAATGTAATGGCTTTATAATCCAAACTGATGAACCGTGAATCTCTAAGTCTGGATCACGTTAAAACAAAACTTGGGAATTGGCCAACATTTATAAAGCTCAAGAAGAAGACGACGGCTAATTCATCCAAGAAGTGGACATTTTATAACAAAAGAAATTTGTGAGTACATTGCTGAAAATTTAAAAAGTAAAAATGAAATCTATAAAAAATTATAGCAATATCTTATAATGCAGATGCTAAGCAAAAAATAAATAAATCTTTGAGCCCTTAACAGGAAATGTTTACTTTTATTTTAGATTGCAAGAAGGAAATTAGGATTATCTTCATTAAGAAATATGGTTTCACAGTAACTAATGTGTGAAAGTAAAAGGATGCATAAGAAGTGGAAGGTAAAGATTGGCTATGATTAAATTCTAGATGGCATAAAAGGAGTGGAGGAACAAAATACATGACAGTGAGTGAATGTTAAGGTTATACAGCTGAACTTTGAACAATGGAACAAAAGAATAACACAAAAAGACTTGAAAGGCAGTCAAAAGGAGTTTTAATGAAGTACGTTAGAAAAAAACCTCCCCAAACACATTCCCACACAGTTAATCTCTCATCTTTGAAGTGCTTGTCACTTTAAAAGGCACAGTCCTACTGATGTATTGAATCACTTTTTTGGAAGGTAACTTCCATTAGCATTTTGATAATTAAGCTAAAAGCTTTAAACCATTTTAATCCTAAAATAATTAGTCAAAGTTGGAAACCAACTCTTGCATATTTATGAATTAGAAAATATAAGTAATGTTACCCTCAAAACACTTAAAATAAAAAGACGAAGCTTGGTGTTCTGTTTCATAGAACCAGTAAAAAAACTGAAATGCAGATAAAAAAATTTACTTACATCTCAATTGTAAAAGGGAAAAAGAAAATTGAGTCCTTGAAGCTCTGTTAACTAAAACAAATCACACTTATGTACTAAATAATCAGTTATTCCTTCCCTTAATGGGTTTTTCTCTTCTTAAGAACAAAATGTTTAAGCTCGGAGTTCCACAACATTTTCAACCTTGCAATTCCAATTCACACAGTCATCAGTTAAAAATGGCCTTTTATTCTTATTTCTGTAAAGGTGGGTGTCTGATTAAAAACTTTAAACACAAAATAAAGGCACCAAGTGGGTCTAAAATAAGGAATAAAGGCTTTTCTGCATTCTGGTTATTGTGGTAAGGTGTTGCTTATAGGTATGTTAAACTCAATCTATTTACCATGGGTTTTTGTTAAGATGTCATAAGAGCTGGATTCTATCTTGTGTTTATATTTACACATACACATTTCCTCATTACAGTCACAAAGATATTTCAACCAAAAACAATGTTTTTTATGTAATAAACCAACAAAATGTAGTGCATTACAATAAGAACAATAAGAATAAGGAACATAATACATAGTTCTTTTTTTTGCTTTACAAACAAAAGTCTGAAAAGTGTGGCGTGCATGTGTTTTCATCCAACTTTAGTCTAATATCTATTAATGAAATACATCCATTACGATAAATATTCCTCTTTCAAAACCTGCATTTGCCAATCAGTATGCTCTTCTGTCCTTCTCAAACCAAAAAACATTTCAATTAGAGAATAAATGGTATCATGAAGACCAAGGAGCACAACAAACTAGACAGGGAAAAAGTTGTGGATTTACAAAACATACACAACTAAGTATAAATACCAGGAATGCACCTACTGTAACATGCTTCCAAATAACCATGGCAACTGTGCGATCACACCTGAAAGATATTTGTTACAGCCAACTTTACTATTGTGTCGTTGCTTTTTTCACCATCTCTTTCTAGAGGTTTACAGACTATTAGGGTGTTATCTATCATTCTTCTTCCTCTCCTCTATTCTTATCTCCTCTCCCTTATAAGTTTCTACTCAACCTCTCTACCTTCCTTACTTTTACTTCCTCTTTCTAATGTATATATAGTAAGGACGTTAGGAACTACAAAAAAGGAAAAAAAAAAAAAAAAGGAAGGAAGAAAGGAACAACAGGGAGAATAGTGGGGTATTAAAAGTTAATTTATATCCAGGAAATATGCTGCAAATAAAGGGAAAGACTTGGGAGCACATTGTCAAGCAGATGTGTGATACCCTCTGCTTTGATTAACCAAATGCACAGTGAGAAGCACTAATATGTGTTGCAACCACCAGGAAATGTCTTTAACAATGACTGGGGTTAGTGGATGATCATTTAGGGCTGAGGTCTTCAACAGGGGGTCTGCAACCACTAGGGGTACTGCATGGGGGTCGCAAAAGTTTTGGTTGATTAGACTTTTTTTTTATATTCCCCCCCTGCAATTTTTTCCACTAATTGAAATTATTTTAAATACACATTAATATAAATTAAACGCACTGTAGTAAACAGATAAATGGAGGCAGAAGATGTCTTTCAGTCATCAATGCTCACGTTCAGCAACACACAGGAGCTCTTTCAAGCTGGGCACCGTTTCATTCACAACCCCTGTCCCATCAATACAGAATCAGAAATACTTTCATAATCCCAGGGATAAATTACTTTTGTTACATTACTACATATGTAATAGAGTAACTATAGGGCCAGTTGGATATAACACAATTTCATACAATACATATAATTAGAGGGTCCTCCCTCCATCTCGCCATCAGTTTGGGGGTCCTTGGCCTGGAAAACTTTGAAGACCCCTGATTTAGGATATGGCTACAGAAAATATAATGGAAACTACAAAACTTATATTTATTTAAAGCATTTTCTAGTCTCTAAATAACATTTTTTAAACTGTTTATTAATGTTTCATTATGTCTCTATCAAATATCTATCCTTCCAAGAGATAAGGCTTTAACTGTCCTGCAGCTTAACCTATGTAATTTTTCCCTAATTGATTGATACATTTTCTGTTTATTTGCTCGACTACACAGCCTGCAAAAAGCAAGCTCTTCTACGATGAGGTCTACCACAAAAATGATCCCTGTACAATCGAGCAGGTAGCGTCCCCTTAATGTACTTTCATTCAGTGAATGGAGCATATACCATGTCATAACAAATTTTTCTATAAAGAGCTGAATCAAAGTGCTAAGAATAGCAGCAAACCATGAAAACATACATGGAGAGAACAATAAGTGTATGAGTAAGGATTAGGAACAAAAAAAAAACCAAAGAAAACAATAAAACCAATCTATAGGAGAACAGGGTCAAATGTTTTGTCACATTTATGTAGAAAAATAAAGAGGCTTCAGTGAAAAAAGATCTATACTGAACTTTCTGGCCTGCAAGCATCACATGTGCAAAGGTTAACTAACACTGCATTTTACTCTACTACCCCCTATTAGGCACACTGTGTCATGGTGGGAGTTGTGTTATACAGTGGATACTTTTCTTTTGAGTTATAGAAAACCTGGTGAGAATAGGTAGGAAGATGAGTGGAACGTTATAGAGAATCATCCAGGAAAAGAGACAGGGATACAGGTTCACTATCAAGCAGAAGAAAGACAGGACCAGAGCTAAATTAGAAAACCTCAGATCAAAATATTCTTCTGTTAGAAGAAAGAAGTTAAAGCCCAGACGAAAATCCAATTGAAAACCTGCAAAGCCTTAGGAAATAAAATTCCAATACACTAAGGAACACAAAAAACGAATTTGAGAAAATGTTTTCTCTTCAGATGTTTAACAGAGCTATATAAAGACTTTCAACCTAACCCGTTGCAAAAAATGTCTCTACAAACTTTCTTATAAACTTTCTTTTTATTATTACCATTATTACTAAACCTCTAAAACCATGTAATGATTTATGTTTCATAAAAAGCTGCAGACATTTTTGTCCCATCTAATCAAGATACAATCATGTCTTAATGATGAACTGAGTCTTGGAACAAACAAACAAAAAAAAACAACCAAATAAAATGCTATAATTCAAATAGCTATAATGGGGCGCTTTAAGGATCCTTTTTTCTCAGGCATTTTTACAGAAAGCATCTCATAACTTAATAACAATAAAAAAAGACTCAAGAATGAAAAAGCAAAAAAAACTTTAACCCAAATAAATTGAGAAAACTAATTAAAGTATATATTCCTGATTGTCCACACCGGAGTCATAATAACAGATTGTTTGGATGTATTCATATCTCTTTGACTAGTTTAATATTACTTATAAATGTAATTTATTGCCATAATAAAATACATGAAAAACATTAAAGTAACAAGGGAGGGCCTCTGTCTGAATCACTGACGAAGATTACAATATAATAAACAAATATGCAGACTCTTAAAACTCTCTCTAAACATGCATTTCCAATGGATATTTTAATTACTCAAATGAATTTATGCACAAAGTTATTTATAGACCATCAGACCTAGAATCTTGATCCACAGGGATTGATTCACTTGCCGGATTTTGTTGCACACTTCCAGTAAGTCACACTTCTGCGTACCTCACAAATTATTTTGAATGCGCTCCTGTGGGAGCAGAGCTTTAGAGAGCTAGGACTGTTTGTCCTTGAGCTCAATTCCCATTATGCTTTCATCCAAGGGTTGATTACTGCAGTGTCACATGCAGTATAAAACAAAATGT